GGGAACCAGGAAGGGCCAGGCCGCGCCGCCGCCCCGCCTGCGGGCTCCCGCCCCCAGTCCTGCGGTCCGAGGGTCCGGGGGCGCCACCCGTCCTCCCTGCCTCTCCAACCTGTTCGGAGTTAGGCCTGTACCCGAACAAATTTATTTATATTTGCATGTTTACTAACTGTATACACCTGCGTATGGAGGTGTGTGTGTTTTATGGACCATGTGTGTAGCATGTGTGTGTATGCATGTTACATGCATGCTCTGCGGGGCGCCACGTGGAGCTTGCGGGAGTACCTTCAGTTGTTCCTTGAGCTCCTGCTATGTGCCAGGCGCTGTGCTAGGCACTTGGGATACAAAAGAACGAACTTTCTGCCCTCTTGGTCTCCCCGCAGCACAAATGCACGGGTATTTGTTGCTCCCTCTTTGGAGTCCGACACTGAGCTAGGCACTGCATAGTGGGAGAGATGAAACGCCGCAGAGACCGCTGTTAAGGATCTCACAAGAGAGAAAGTGGGGCAACAACGTGGGTTCACATACCTTGGTTTACCCCAGAAAAACGTGTACTGCCTGAAGGGGATTCCAAGGTGGGAACAGTGATGGGGCATCGGAGGTAGGATCAGGAAAGATTCCTAGGGCAGGTGGCATGAAGAAGCCTTGAATGATGGGTTGTGGCATGTGCACTTGATCTGGTGAAAATGGGAATATATTAAATGTTTACAAGCAAAGGAATTCTTATGATGAGAGCTGGTTTGGTTTTGGTTTTGTTTTTTGTTTTTTTTGTTTTTGGGGGTCCTTTTTGCTTTAAGATTACTGTCAGCAGAATGATGATTGATTGGAAAGAGGTAAGCAAAAAAGCCAGATAGGAAATTTGCAATAATATATGGAAAGCAATAAGATCCTATGGTAGTAAAATGGCATTGGTGAATAAAAAGAGAGTAGATGGATTAGTGTTACATTTCAGCTGTAGAATCTTCCGGAGCTGGCAAGAGGTTGAATTTCATTTTCCTACCTAATTATGTTTTACTTAAATTATTATTTAAATTAGTTGGCACTCCTACAGCAGCCCAAAAACATCCTAACTGAAAGGCGAAGCCAGACTGCAAATTAAAAGTCAATAATCCCCACATGGATAATTGAGTCAATTATACAGTGTGCTGAACACATACAAATACATTTAGTTCCACAGCACTCCACATACTCCCCAACTGGTGCAAGATGTAAAAAAAATGGATCTGAATCTACATAAATTATAGGTTCTGATACAAACACATTACCCTACCTAACTTTTAAAGAATCCCAGTTCAATCGCCTTTTGAGTCATTTTCCATTTGTCTTGATCTGTTGCCAAAGTAGAGCCACTAACCGGCTAAAACCCTCTGTAATCTCTAGTGAAGTTTTGGTCTTCCTCAGTTACCTTCAAAACCAGAGCTAGGATTTTGAGCAAAAGAGCATCAAGTTGGAACAAAGCATTTAACCTCGCTGTTTCCCATTCCTGATCTGCAAAATGGGGGCAAGAACAATGTCTGCTCCCCTGCACTGTGGTGAGAATTGCGTAAGGTGATGCACTCTGCCCTCCCTCATTAAGCAAAGTGCAGGCTTCCGAGGTTTTAGCTAAAGAGTCTCCACTGGATACAGAGGCCTCTCATTCCAATTCTTTTCATTTTCACTGATGGGATGATAATTTCTTATTGCCACTTGCCAAAAAGGCTTGATGCAGTAAATAATTTTATCCCTTAAATGAGACTCTCACCCAAAATATTTCTGTGGTCTCTGGAATATAGGCATATATATCCATTAAAAAAAAGTCCTTGTAGTTGTCTACCTGTTGCCACCTGCTAGAGAATAGGAAATGTACCTCCTGGAGACATAATCCCGTAATCACACTTTACCCTGATCCCCAAACTTGTCAGTGCATCTTCATGATGGGTCCAGAGCCCAAATCTGCTGCCCCTGATCTTTTATGGCTACTAAACATGCTGAATGCCCATTTCTTTCATGCCTTTGTCTTCATTGCAAACTTCCAACAACTCATTTTACATTCTGTGTTAGCCTGGGTTCTCTAGAAAACATCTGATTACATGCTAGTGCTTCGCCGGGTACTATAATTGTAGGGAAGTGGGAGTGAGGACAAAAGGGAAGGAAGGAAGGAAAGAAGTGAAGCAAATACAAGGTGGTATGTTATCCAGCTGGTTACACCTTCAAAACCTAGCTCATTTCTTGGTACTGTGGCGTATTCTGAGAGAGACTATGTCCAGTCATTGTGTCTTGGAATAGCCAGGAGGTAGGCGTGAGGGGAGGAAATTTGCAGACTCTTTTATATCTTCTCTCTCTTGTTGGTCAATATTTGACCTATAGCTCATACCTCCCATGAACTTCTGGGGGATGTCCCTGGTGCCTCTCTAAACAGGCACTGGAAAATCCAGAGCTTCCGTGAGTCCAGTCTGGTGGAGTAGGAACTAAGTCCTGGAGCTGCAGGAGAAGAGGAGTCCATGGCCTAATCCCTAACCATACCCACCTCCAGATGTCTCCTTCTCTACCTCCTGCCCTAGTAAGGGTGGCAGCAAGTGGCAGGGGCTTTATGGGGAAAGGTGAGTTCCCAGTGGTCACTTTCTTGGAAAGCAAAGCAACACACTGAAGCCTAGGACATAGTAGGCTGAGCATATCTGGAGAGGTACATCCGGTAACTTGGAGACAGTTTTAGTCCTTGAGTGGAATCTCAACACAAGAGTTGCCTGGGTCCTGAGTGCTTCAGCTCTTTAATGATGTAGCTTTTCAATTCACATGTGCCTAGTCGTTTTACCAAAGTCTGTCACAGCCCAGGTTGGAGTGAGATTGGTGACAGCCCTCCACTGTGTCAGGAGAGTTAATACTTCCTTCTAGGTGTGATCTTCGTCCTGTTTAGAGCTTCTCCCTTTTGGTGGACTCCTTCTCAAGGACTCTGTGCAGTCAGTTTCCTGCAACAGAGCCTCAGTCTGTACCCACCCTCTCGCCTTTAGGCATGATTTATATCTTTAACACTCAATGAAGTAGACCAAAGTCTGAGCCTTTTTCCCCCAGAAGTCTCCTCCAACCCTTAAGTAAACCCTGGGTACAACAAGAAGCCCTGCCCAAATCCATCCTTCAACATTCCAGCCACAATGAAAATGATATCTTTGGAGGAAGGATAATACCTACTTACCCACCAGGACAATATCTGAGCCCCAGGAACTCAGTCCAGCTGAAATGACCTTTCAAGTAGGTTCTTGATATACCAGTATATATTGTCAAATAGGGGGGTACAGGTTTCCCATTACGTACCCTAGATTGTTCTGTCAATGGGTTAGCTAGGTATCTGGACCAGGCCCTTCAGATTGTAAAAGTCTGTAGTCCTACACTCACCTTCAGTTTCTCAGGTGCATTTACCAAAGGTTGTTTAGAAGCACTGGCAAAGGACTAACACTACTTGCTACCCATGTCCTATCCCCAGATGACAATCAAATACAAAATTCATATTCAGCTGCTTTGTCACATTTTGCTTGCAGAAGCCACTGGCCCAGTTTCCCCCCTTCCCACCATGCCGACACACACCTCCCTCCTCCACACCATCACTCAGTGTTTCGCCTGTTTTTAGCTCTGTAGTCAGCACTTGCCTCATAGGTGTGAGAGAACCAATTGGGATAAACTGAAGAACACACCCTCCTAAATGGTTAATGTGTAATTGTTTGTTTCACACTTTCTCTCTGGATTCTCAAGGGAATAAAGTTTTGAAATTATATATTTTTATTTATGAGTTGGTTATGTGAATGTTCCTGTTTAATGTAAGATATATCAAGAATAAGGGATGCATGAATATAATGAATTCTTTGAAACTTGCATACCAGGTTGTGATGTAGAAAGGAAGCAAGAAACTTAGAAAATAAAGAAAATGTACCA